CCCCCAACAAGGCACCAACCCCTCCCCATCTTCAAATAATTCCTAAAGCTCTCTTTCTTCCTTGACACACACACACACACAATGGCTTCGACAGCTTTGTCACAATCTCTCTTCTCCATTCTCAGTTCTCACAGAAACCTTGAGAATGGCTCACTTCCTCTGAAAAGATCAATGCTCAAACAATCCCTTGTTGTCTCAAAATCACATTCCTTGAAAACCCATTTCAAGAATAGCTTCATCACCAACTGTGCCTCTCCTGAAAATGATGCAACTTCCAAATCTGAAACCCCAATTGAATTGAGTATGCATTCGCCGGCCCCATTCATTCTTATCTGTTTTGATTGAGTATGAAAAGGATTGGTTTAGTATTAATCTTTGTGAGTGTTTAAATTTAGTTTTCAGAAACCTTGATGTTGGAATTGCTGTGAAAGAATTGGTTTCGTGTCTTGAGATTTTTGTTTTGTTTTTTAAAAAGAAAGTAAACAAAATGTGTTTGGATAAGAAAACAGAAAGAAAGAAAAAAAAAACTGTTTGAGAACGAAATATATTGGTTCTAATGTTAAAGTTCGGATCTTGGTTTATTTGTAGGGTACCCAGCATTTCCTACTGTGATGGATATCAATCAGATTCGTGAGATTTTACCCCATCGGTACAGAATTCGACTCTGTTGCAGACATTATTTAAAATTCTTTGTTTGAATATATATATATATATATATATATATATATATATATATATATATATATATATATATATATATATGTATGTATTGTATGGAGTTACTGATATAAGTTGCATGAATTTCAGTTTTCCATTTCTACTAGTGGATAGAGTGATTGAATACAATCCGGGAGTGTCAGCTGTGGCTATAAAGAATGTGACAATTAATGATAACTTTTTTCCTGGTCATTTCCCTGAGAGGCCAATCATGCCTGGTGTCCTCATGGTTGAGGTATATATCTAATTCACTTCTCATTCCATGATTGATATTGGATATATGCTTTAACATTGGTTGAAAGTTTCATTCTTTTTAATTCTATTCTTATTGAATGTTAAAAAAAGTAGAGATCTTTCTTCAAAATTATACGTTTGCTTAATTCTAGTTTTAGTGCCACTTATTATGATGTTATATGTTAAAGTACCCGCATTTGCAAACGGAAAACTTCAAGTAGTTCATGATTCAGCAAAAGCAATCTCTTATGTGCAGTTTATTCAGAAAATAGGATAAAGTGGCTTCACTATACAAAGCTAGCTAGACAAAGTCATAATATAGTTAATTTCAAGGTGTAGTTTACACAATAGATGAAGTTTCTCAATCTCTCAGGCTTCAAACTTGAATACTTTTTCTCTAGCATTTCAGAAATTTTTACTTAGTGAAAGTAGTTATGTTCTTTTTTCACCTTGATTTTTTTCTAACCATGGTGAAAGGTGGACGAAAGCTGAAATTAATCCCCAAATTGAAAAGAGAAATAGAACAGTTAAATGGAGTGCCTGCTCTTCTCTGTGAATTGACCTAATTAAAATGAGGAAACTGTAAGTAATCTCTACTCATTTTTGTCGGATTGTAAGTCAAGTGAAATGCTTTTTATGATGTTAATACATGTATGTGTTTAAAAGCATTTTATGTACTTGAGTAGAGTGCGGGACCTCTTTTGTGTGGCTCTTAGTCTCTAGCCAATGTACAAAGTCCATTAACATTGCTTTTGAAAAGTATTTAGAAAGATTGCTAGGTTATTTTGGGGGATAGTACATAAATACCTTGTTGAACTTGTCCTGATTTTCCAGTTACACACTTAAACTTTGGGGGCAACCATTGTTCTTTTTCAAAATGTATCTATTACCACCTTGGTTGACATGGCAGAGAAAGTGCATACGAGCATGTAAGAAGCCAAAAGCAAGTTAAAAATACAGACTCTTTAACATGTGAGCTGCAATTGATTTAAGTGAAAAGGTTCCTCCTCCTAAAAATGCAGCCTCTTTAACTACACTTACTCTCTCCCTTCCTGGTTGCTGCCCATCTCCACCAACAACTGCCACCTGTCCTCCATTTCTCTCTAAATCAAAACCATCCATTCACTCGTAACTATTTCTTTTCTGCTCACATTCATTTTTCTTATTGCATGGCCAGATTTCCTTCCATTGCAGTATGTCCTCCATATTGGCTTGCTTGTAGTACCTATTAAAATAGATGCAGCACAATACAAACTTCATAAAGGAGGGAGGAAGTGAGACTAGAGAGAAACCAAGAATGCAATCTCCCCATACCATCTAAATCTATCTGCTTTGTCCCACTCGCACACATAGTATCATACCCCGCCTCTTTCACTCTCTTTCTTGCTTTAGCAAACCCAATATCAACACATAGAAGGACAACATTAAGTTCCAGGCTTTTAGCTAAATCTGAGCATCACCACCATACACGGGTGTGGTGCTAATATATCTAAATAGTAAATACCTAATTTGTAGTCTTGCTTTAATGGGGCAACGATGACTGTACTCCAGTCTTCTAGTATGGCTTGTTCTGTTTCTATTCCTGAAGAAGGATAGACAAATTGACTTAGAGAAGGGAGCAGTCACGTCACTATACCAAGAAAATGGAGTGGAAGGAGCAGATCAAAATCTATCGAATTTAAGGTCTCTTAACATGTGTGTTTGGTTTTGTGGGGGGGGGGGGGGGGGGTCAGGGAGAGAGAGGGATAGGAATCGGACAAAGAGCATAAGAGAATGTGAAAGAAATGGAAAAAAGAAACAAAAAATACATTTGTATGTGGCAAAGCACGCGGCAGTGCGTGTTTACAACTGCCACGGTCTCATTTGTTAGTATACGCCACGTGGCTATGTGCAGGGTGGTAAGAGATACAGTTTAAACAAGAATAATGGGGTAATAGGTCTCCCATAATTTAAGTGTGTAGTTAGCATTTCGAGACAAGTTGACTTTATGTATTATCCTTTGTTTTGGGCTTTCAAAATACTGAGACCACATTGCAGTAATTTATAAAGTGTAGATGATTACTGCTAGGAGATCTGTGGTTGTTTAACAGTAGGTAATCTATGGTTATTTAATCATATAAGAACAGCGAAGAACAAGCTATAGGTGTTGCACTATGAAGAATGATATAGAAAGAAGTTCAAAAAGATTGACCACTACGGTAATTTATTGCATGAAGAAGATAGCCCAGCTACACTTTTTGTGTGATGGCTAAGATGTGTTTGGCATAGATGTATGCCAAATCGTATGCATGGCATACTCAGTGTTTAAGAACAGTCTGCTGTGTGGCTTGTGATTTTGGGCATTTGAAGCTTTTAGAACCATCTTTGTAAGGCTGCTCACTTTGCTGTACCCTTGAACATATGTATGTGTCGTGAGAATTTAGTGGTTGTATTTATACCAATTTCCTTATTGGTAACAATGAGTGCTTGCTTCCTGGGAACCTTTAGCAGCAAACTTTTATGGTCATGATGTTGTCTCAGCACGGAAGGAAATGCGTGATAAGTGTATCAATGTCCAGGTAGTTTTGAAATTCTAATATTACTACAATAAGTATTTCTATAAGCTGTTGAATACTGCAGCTGTTTTAAGTTCTTCTGGTGGTGCATGTAGTCTTCTATTAGTTATTCATTGACATTTGCATGCCTGTTAGTTCGGTGAGAGTAACTAGCGGTTGTGTCAACTCCATATTCCTCATGATAAATATTACAATCTACTCCTATTGGGAACTATGTTTCTCCAACATGTGTGCGGCAGCATTTTAAAAGAGTCCGAGCAGCAATGCTCAGTCTTTCTTCAAGATTGGTGAATGAGTCTTGTAATGCATTCAACATCAAACAGGGACTTCTCTGATCGGATTGTATAGGAAGCGGGTGGGCTACAGACTCTAAATATACTCGATTGGTAGCAATCACTTATGACCAGGTTTAGGTGCATCTAATCTTATAACTGTGTCCACAACTTCCAGCTATTTAAACCTGCTCACTAATTCTTCCACTTCAGCCCTCATCCTAGACATGGGCTAAGCTAGAAGCCCGTGTGAGGGTTCGGCCAAACCCAGTAACTTTTGCTCAACCAGTATATTTGTTTAAAAAAAAAACATTAAATATGTAAAAACAAATTGAAATTAGAAGCTAGTTATTAGCACTTAGAAGTCGTCGTTCTAAAATTAAGAACCTAGTTATGTTCTGTCAATGTTTCGTTTGAAAGGAGTCCTAAAATCTGCTTATGGTAATACTTCACAAGGAAATGAAAATGTTAATATTACATGTTGGTCGAATGAGTTAATATGTGGAGGATCCCACAGCATATGTTAAAGCGATTCCTCATTTCTCCCCTTTACTTTTGTTCTTTGGTTGCCTCAGTTTTGTTGCTGCAACATGTTGTTTCGTTATTAGATTCTGATGGGTGTCCATTTCTGTTTAATTTAGGCAATGGCACAAGTTGGCGGCATAGTTATGTTGCAACCTGAAGTGGGAGGCTCCCGGGAGAATTTCTTTTTCGCTGGAGTAGACAAAGTGAGGTTCAGGAAGCCAGTGGTGGCTGGAGATACTTTGGTAATGAGAATGACACTGATCAAGCTGCAAAAACGTTTTGGAATAGCGAAAATGGAAGGCAAGGCATATGTAGGAGAGGATGTGGTTTGTGAGGGTGAGTTCTTGATGGCTATGGGCAGTTAATTCTCTGCTGCTATTAGTAGTTTGAATTTCTTGAACTTTGATTAGTTTTCCATCTTTTCCCTCCCAAATCTAATAGATTCCTTTTCATATGAGGCTTTTGGTGTCTTTTCTTTCCAAATTAAACTATAAATTGTATACATTTAGTATTGAATGCCAGTTTTCTGTATCTGAGTGTAGAAAATACTAATCAGAGTAGCCTCGGCCTTAATTACCGAACCAAACAATGGTGTTGGGTTTTTAAATTTATAAACCAAATCAAACCAACAAAGTCGGGTTTTTCAATCTCGATTTTTCTCTGGTTCTTCGGTTTTTTCGGGGTTTTCCCGATAAAGTCTTCATAGCATAAAACATGTACCTTGTGCTCTAAATATTTCTTTAGTCCTAGTAGGATACAACTATGTAATATGTTTTGCAAGAAAATAACACAATAATATGAAATGAGTAATAGCATTATACTAAAATATTCAATAATAAAGATAATAAAATGGCATAAATTAAATATTGCTAATTAATAAGCCATAATAAAAATGAACATAATTTAAAAGTACTATATAAGTTATGGTAAAATAAGTACATCTAATAAGTATTATTATTACATGACTAAGCACTAAAGAAAAAGATAAACTAAGTTATGCATTCTCATTATAAACCAATGCAAAATTAAAATTAGATATCCAACACTATTGTCGTTTCTAGTGTTCAATTGAATTTATTTTGTTAGCATTAGTATTGATTTGAACTTTATTTGAGTTACTACATTTATGAGCTATAAAACTTCTTAGACCATTCAATAATGTTAAGTCCAAGCTTGAAATAATACATTAAAAGATAAAATTGTTTAAAAGTTTAAGAAATACTTATAAATTACATTACAATAAATATTTCTATAAATATATATATATATATATATATATATATATATATATTTTAATATATATAAAATATTATTAAAAATTGTATAAATATAATGTCGGGTTGGTTTGGAATTGGTTTGACTTTTTTAAGTTAAAATCAAACCAAACCAATTATAGTCGGATTTTTTTTTTTTCCAATGTCAAACCAAATCACATTGTTTTTTTTTTCCTTTCTTATTTGACTCGTATTATCGATTTAGTACGATTTATTGATTTTTTTTTGTACACACTTATTACGAGCTACTGAGCAATTCGGGGCCAATTGAGTTGCCGCCACCTTTTAACAGCAACAATCCAAAACTTCTTGGCAGTTGGCACCAGCACGTTCTGGCATTGGTTGACATTCTAATAAATGGAGCACGTGAAATTAAATTTCACATGCTTCTTGATTAGTTCGTGGGGATCCAAAGTACACGCTTGAAATAGACTTGAAATTTCTTTTTGTAGCTTATTATATAAAACAACTTCAAACAAAAGGTAATGGTCGGGCCGGCTCTAATTTGTTAAAATAGCACGGGCTAACCAGTTTTCGAACTGGTCATTCAAATATAATTAACGTTTGTCAAATTATTAAAAAATAGCCACTATTTTGCTGCAACAGAGACCGGTCCAGCATAATATACTGGAGTTCGATGCACCTGTGTATGAACTTTTAGTATATTATGCTGGACCGATATACTTTGCTGACTCCAATATAATATACTGGAGTTCTAGTATACTTTGCTGGAACTCCGGTATAATATACCGGAGTTCCAGCAAAGTATACTGGAACTCCATTATATTATACTGGAATTCCAGTATATTATGCTGGAATATTTTTCGTATTTTGAACAGTGTTTTCGTTCAGATTTATCTTTACATGAAAAGTGGCTAAATTTCGATGACTTTTGAAACTGTGGCTATTTTTGAATGACCACTTGTAAATCTGGCTATTTTTGAATTTCGTAGTAATGCTTGTGCCTTAGGCCCCCAAAGTTGGGGCCCATTTTTTAAAAATAATAGGTTTATTGATATTTAAAAAATAATATTTAGTACTTTTAATACAAAAGTAGAATTATTAATATAAAAGGAAATAAAGCTGTTTAAATATATACTTACTTAAATATGGGTAAATGAATAGTTTTGTCAATGTTACAATTTTTCACTGCTTACTCCTTCATTAGATGACGTGTAAAATTTTACTCTCCCTTTCTTAATTTGTCCAAGTCAATCTTTCTTTTCTCCAAACTCTTCATATTTCAGAAACTCCTACATATTTTCTGTCTTTCTCTTTAATATTCTTACTCACCTTCTTTCTCCAAGAAATTTAAGCTTCCAATAGTTCTAAGCTTCTATTGCTCTATAAAATCTTATCTAACATTAACAATATCTCAAGAAAAATTAATTGAGTTGGCACTATCAATTGAAAAGAAATTATTAGAGAAAATCAATTATAAAAAGGATTATTAACAACTTTGTATCTCAAAAAGCTAGAAGAATAGACTTTCAATAAAAACATATCTTATAACTTTTAAAAAACAATTAGGCCTCATATTAAATTTTGGCTTTAGACCCCGCGTATACTTGAGCCGCCTCCGTAATGGCTTGATATTTTGTTAAACTAGTATTAGGTACGCGCTGCGCGTATAATTAATTTTAATGTATATAAAATTTTAAATATCACGCAAATATCATTAAATTATGTGATTGAGTTATAAATTAAAAATGCACAAGCTGTCCTATTTTGAACTTAATAAAGGAAAAAATTATGTCACGAAAAAGTATTCTAATGTCTTATCACAACTCCAATATAAGAGTTGGGCATTTGCATTATTAGCTGAGACATAATAAAATAATACGTTGACTTGTAGACACATATCATGCAACTATACTATGTTTTTGTGGTCTTACAAAATCAATCTATATACTCAAGTACCTAATATGAATTTTATATTATCACATTATTAGGTTTAATTATCATACAAAGAATTAATTGAAGGGGCAATATTAACCCAACTAAATTTGTTTTTGGACAGAAATAAAATTATTAACTGTCGTAAAATTAATATAGAAAATTAATGCATGTTATTGTTTTATACAACATGAAGTGCATCGTAATGCAATATAATTCTCAAAAAGTATAAACGACTATTGATATTTCATGTATATTTAACATGTATTTATACAGACCGTTACAATAATATTTACATATTTTATCTCTAGACACATTTAAGATTATTGTGAGTTATAAAATAAATACATAACTAGATAAAAATTTTCATTGGTAATGTTTTAGTGATAGAGTGCTTGAATTCAACTTATTGAATATTATATCATTAATTCACGAATGTGTTGACATCTGTTCTCTTTAATACTGAATACTGATAGTTGTCATGAATATAGTTATATTATAATTAAAGAAAATAATGTAATAAAATAAAATCTTAATTGAATATTTTAAAACCGAAAGGGTAAAAAACACACACAGAACAACTCACATGTTTTAGATGAATTTAGTTTTAAAATTCTAATCCTATTCAAATAATTCAGCTAGAAAACATTATAAATTTTATATATTGCATTATAAGAATTATTGAAGTCCTAATTATACACAATTTCTACTTCAGCTTGTGTTGATACGGTAGCAACATAGAATGCACTTTTTTAGCTTTATTTATTTATTTATTAAAAGAATGCACTTCAAATTGGAAAAGGCAATTCAAGTGGTGTTGCAATTGATGTCTTGCAAAGTTTACAAAATATCTTTTATGATTTTGACAATTGACGATTTAAAATTCCTAAAAATTAGGAGTTTATACATAGTTCAAAATAAGGAAATTATTCAATAGTCAAAACTTTAATTAATTTTAAAGTCCTAAATATTAGGAATATAATTAAATTACAATTTTATCCAATATGAAATTTATTTTAAAGGGTAAAAAAAAAAGGCGAATGACATTTCATTAAGGGGCTTCGTGCTTTAAATAAAGTCTCTCTCTCTCTCTCTCTCTCTCTCTCTCTATATATATATATATATATATATATATATATATATATATATATATATATATATATTATATAAAAATGAATAATTTATGCTAAATGTTAAACGACTAAAATACACCCAAATATTTATCGACTAAAATACACCCAAATATTTATCGACTTTTATACCCTTAAATATTTGTATTATTTAAGGATATAAGTATAAATTACCTAAGGCTAGATCACTTTTTCTATTCAAACTACACATATGCCAAGCCCATAAAGTTGATTTTAGGTCAAATTCTTTTGGGACGTGTTGAACATAGCCTACCAAGTCTACAAAGTTGATTTTCGAATATTTGAAGTAATTCTATGCTAGATAAAGTTGTAATAATAAATGCCTTTGCGTAATATTTAGAGTCCGAAATCAACTAAGTCTGTCATGTATTTTACCTTTAATAAACTTTGTCCTTCAGGAGAGAAGCTCCATCTTCTATCTAAAAAACCCCTAAACTATCTCAACCATTTTCTCTAGCCATATCCAATCCAAACATGGATACTGATATGGAGATGATTTTAATTCCTCCTAAACCACCCGACATTAATATAGATTATACCCCCAAATCTTCTGGAAATCAACAAACCTCCTTTAAAGACAAGTTAATTGGGGGAGAGGAAGGGACGAACATCATAATTGAAACCACCGTCCCTCTATCCAACGACATCCATACTTCCTTCTCGCCAAGGTATACAAATGATAATACATCGGGAAAAAGAAGATTTTTCCTCTCTCAAGAGGATAAAAACCGTATGTATGCCTTGAAAATATTCCATAACCATAAAATTACAAGGTAAACAAACTCTTCACCAAATCCTTAGAAAAGAAGTTCAAGAACTGTGGAAAGTAAATGAAAACTTTTCTCTAATTGACCTAGGCTCAGATTACTATATTGCAAAATTTCAAAAGCAAGAGAGCATGAATTCAGTTCTTCAAAACGGACCATGGTTCATCTTTGGTCACTTCCTCTCCTGCCAAAGGTGGGAACCAAATTTTGTAGCTTTTGATGCTAAACAAATATGCACTGCTGTTTGGATCCGTCTCCCAAATCTGCCTACTGAATTTTATGACGGGATTATTCTTCAAAAAATTGGTATCTCTATTGGGAGACTCCTAAAAGTTGATGCTTGTACATCATCTACCTTAAGAGGGCGTTATGCTAGACTATGTGTGAAAGTTCCAATGGACAAACCTGTGGCAAAATTCATATTTATTGAAGAGCACAAGCAAATAATTGAATATGAAGGAGAC